TATGAATAGTTGTCGTGGAAGCAGTGGTAGTCGTCGTCGACGTGGTGGTGGTGGTGCTGGTGCTGGTGCCGGTGCTGGTGCTGGTGGTGGCGGCGGCGGCGGTGGTGGCGGCGGCGGTGGTGGTGGTCGTGGTAGTGGTAGTGGTAGTGGTAGTGGTAGTGGTAGTGGTAGTGCTAGTGGTAGTGCTAGTGGTAGTGCTAGTGGTAGTCGTAGTGGTAGTGGTTGTAGTTGTGGTTGTGGTTGCAGCTGTTGTTGCTGCTACTGATACTGTTGCTGCTGTTGCTGTTGTCGTTGTTGCAGCTGCTGGTGCTGCTGCTGCTGCTGCTGCTGCTGCTGCTGCTGTTGTTGCTGGTGTTGCTGTTGCTGCTGTTGCAGCTTTTGCTGTTGTTGCTGCCGTTGCCGTTGCCGTTGCCGTTGCCGTTGCCGTTGCCGTTGCCGTTGCTGCTGCTGCTGCTGCTGCTGCTGCTGCTGCTGCTGCCGTTGCTGCTGCTGGTGCTGTTGTTGTTGTTGTGGCAAGTAGCGGTAGTGCCGTGGCAACCGCGACCAACATGACTGCTTTTCACTCCCTAGGCCTCGTGGCAGTTCGGACTCCTGAAGCCGACCCTTCACCTAGAAAGCGCGCCGGGCTCGAGGGCTCAAGGCAAGGACTTCCGCACATGGACCGAGGCTCACACTTCCTTGAAGAGCTCCATCAGGGCATCTTGGATTTCGGGTACCTTCTCCGAAAGTGAAAGTCTGCACTTCTCTCTTGCACGAAGTCTTGCATTCAGCATGCCACTTGCCCTTCGCATTTGTTGCCTGAGTCACCGCAAACTCTTGCCTGCCTCCTCGGTCGAGGCTGAGAGTGAGACGATTCTGGATCCGGTTTTGGACTCGTCTCGTGCAAATTCTTTGGCAGCGCGATGCTGTACACTGCGCTGCATGCTAGCTAACGCTTTTGGGCCCTTCGAGGTTTCCGAAAGGCCACTAACACTCATCTAATAGGAAAGGTTGTCGCCAAGCAGCTGGCACTCAAAACAGAGCAACATTCATCTCGCTTCGCAGTAAAAAAACTCTCGGGGCAGCTGCACCGCTGCGCCGCTACTTGTCGGCTCATTGCTTCTGCGAACTACGGGGGCTGTCGTAGCCCGGGCGCTACGGCACGCCCTGGAGGAAGATCACCTTGGCTTCTTCTAGCCATCCCCCGTCGGTGAGCAGCGGTGTTCTAAGATGTACAGAAGCACCTGTGTCTGCCGGGTGGCCCAAGGGGTGGAGACCCGGCCAGCGCTGACCAGGAGACGTCCACCCTGCGCTTTATCGCCCGTGAAGGACACGGGAATGGGGACCTGACCGAAGCACAGGACATGAGCAAGGACCGCCGCCGCAGCGCAAGCCAAGGCGAAGGCCGTCTTTTTGGAATCCAGCTTTACGGCGCGTTGTGTTAGCTGGAAGCTCGGGTTGTCCACCTGTCGAGCCGTTTTAGACCTTTGCTGCCTCCACTGGCTGCAGCCTTTCGGGCTCGATCAAGGGGCCTGCAGCGAAAACTCCACCGGCTCAGCGAAGGGATTCTGAAACTCCACGTTGGTCGGTTTGCCCTCGCGAGACTCACGTCAGCGTCGAAGAGGCGAGAAGGAGAGATGCCCAGGGTATGCCCTGCCTTGGGGACATCCACAGGTCCCTGCGGCTGCGGGGGCTGCGCGTAGCCCATCAGCAAAGCCTCCCAATCTCCAAGCTGCAAGTTAGCTAACAGCAAGATGCCTTCACCCCAACACTTGCCGATGTCGCCGACAGGCCTTGTACTCGCCACCGTCCGGAGAAGTGAGAACCAGAAGCCCTCGAATCTCGCCAAGCTCCGAAGGTGTGAATCGGACCTCGGTGACCAACAGTCAAACTCCCTAAACCCTAAACCGTAAGCCCTAAACCCCTCGGCCCCTGCTTTTGCCAAGCGGTGTCAACATGCTCTGAGAGCAGCGGCATTGATGGAGGCCTCCTGGCCCTCTGCTCCCGCGACATCCACTTTCACTTCCTGGGGAGAGGGGAGGCAAAAAAATCACGAGGCTGGCACCGGCAGAAAGAACTTCAGAAGCCGAGGAGTCCTTGATCTCTGGCGCAAAATCGGAGCTCACCGACTTCTGGCCTCGAATTTTTCAGCGCTGGAAGCAAGATGCAGCCCTCGGGAGCCGCCCACCTGGCGCTGCCTCGATGGTTGCACTGAAAGTTGTTGCCTTCTGCGCATAGTGCAGGAACCTGAGCTACAGATGCAAACATATAATAAGATATAATGTAATATTTTTCTAATACATTGCCATATAATATAATATAATATAAT